CTACTAAAAGAGATAACAGATTAATTGTAACTATAGAGGGGGAACCCTTCGTAACAAGTTGCATGAGCAGCTCAAAGGGAGGCAGGGTAGTGAGCATTGAACCTGGAATCCTCCCACTAGGTCTTCTTCTCCTAAATATACCCTCCTGTTCCTTTCTAACTAGACATACCATGACATATATAAGAAGAGATATTTCAAGACAACATTTTGGTTAGTGAGTAAATTGTAACATTATTATTTGCCTTATATTTTGTCCACATATTCTCTTCATTGTACTGAAACTATGAAATCCTTTAGAAAGTTATAACTGAAAATCCAATAACGGGACATCCCTCTTGATTTGAATTTGTAACTGCAAAACTAGTAGAAAACTACTGGATGGTAATTTTTTTCTATACAGCAACCAATTTTCTACTTCGAGCCTTTAAACACTGGTTCTAGATAGACGTTTGTACCTTACATTTTTAATTTTTGAGGGGAAAGCTTGAGATTGACAAGAAACCCGGGAAATGATTAAAATGTTGGGCGCAAGGTGGTGCTTCAACGCTCTGTATAATTGTTTCTGTAATTGCAATGCTTTGTTGATTTGTGTCAATTGGAGTAGTTTTTGTCTTTGCTTTAGGCTTTGAAAAGTTGATTCCTTGTCTTTTTGTACTATTCTAAGTTCCATATATGTTAGAACTGATGTATGTCTACATAATTTTTACTTGGACTCTTGGGTCTCTTATAAGATGTCTGTCAATTTGTTTTGTCAATCCTTAACAACTTATCTTTTGACATGCATGAATCATGCATATTGCCTTGAGCATTTATGATGACCTTTTCTTCTACAATATACACATTTCAGCTATCTTTTTCAAGCATAGACACTCTAGAAATATGAGGTCTATGGATAATTTGATTAGTTCACATATTTTTTGGTTCGAAACCTTTTCTTCTTTTGATAGACAAAGATAGTGAAGATTTTTTTTTTCCAAAGTTTAGAGTTGGATGGGTCATGGTTTGCTTACTTTAAACTGATGAGGACAGAACATCTTCATGGTGTACATAATGGTTTTATGATGAGTTCTTTTTTTTTTTTTTTGTAAGCCTTTTGTATTTTTTCATTAAATAAGTAAAATAAAATGAATCTCAACATAGAATGCAAAGGAAACATTTTATTCACTTCCTAAGGGTGTTCTTCATCAATCTCTATTTTATTCCCATCCGTGGTCCGTCATTAAATGATACTCAAATGATTTCTTGGAACCTTGTGAAGAATTGTAGCTCAATATGTAAAGAATTGATGTCAAATCACTGAATGAATTAAGACTCCATTGGTCTTGCTGTTGCTTTACCTTGTAGTCGTTGAGGATCAAAAGAGGCCCTCTTTTGGACATATTATGGCTTGGCTTTTACTTGATGATTTAAGTTGCTTTAGGGTTCTATGTTTTGGAAGGTTTATAAGAAACTTTCAAAGAGCCTAACTTTTTGAATAGATATTCTTCAATTAAAGTGTGAAGAATCGTTCATTTCAATTGAATCCTTAAATCCGGTTATGATCATCAGTTTTTTGTTATCTGATTAATGATAAAATTTGGCAGGCACGAATTAAAAAGATAATGCAAGCAGATGAGGACGTTGGAAAGATAGCACTTGCAGTGCCCGTTTTAGTTTGTAAGCGAATCTTACAGAGTGTTTAATTTCATACGGTGTTCCGTTTAAGAAATATATGATTGCTAATGTATCTTGTACATGACTACCAGCTAAAGCATTGGAACTGTTCCTGCAAGACCTGTGTGACCGTACATATGAGATAACTCTACAAAGAGGAGCGAAGACAATGAACTCGTTGCACCTGTAAGGGCATATTTTAACCGACTTATTTTATTAAGTTTCGTGACAGCCGTGCCTTCAAACTCAGAAAATTTACAGTTTTTGTGTTTTAGATTTTTGGTTTGAACTTACCTTTAGCATCTAACTAGTTAATCCCTTGGGTTACTCTACCACCCTATTGGTAATTGGTATCAAATACATGCTCTGTTTCCCCTTCCTTATTTGTGTCCCCGAACTTGATTGTTATGTTTTTGGCCATCAATTTGTTGTCTTAACATTATTTCTTAACTTTTATTACAGAAAGCACTGTGTACAAAGCTATAGTGTTTTCGATTTTCTGAGGGATATTGTTAGTCGGGTTCCAGATTATGGTCATGGTCATTCTGATGGTGCTGTTGATGATAGAAAGAGGAGGTATGATTTTCTTATTTTCATTTTCCTATTTTGTTAAGATCCATGGATAACTAAACGTTCTTAATATCTGATCAGGAAACCCCTTGCTGATGAAAGCAATGACATTGATGAGTTGAAGAAGAGCAAGACGGTAATTATTCTTTCCTCCTAACGAATCGACTCGGTATTTATTTTCTTTGACGTGGACAGAAAAAAACTAAGACCCAAGAAATAGTTGTTGTCATTCTTGTGGTGTCATCAAATGCATAATGTTCATTGGACTGGAAAGATGAATCTCACTTAGAATGAGAAAGTTATTTGTTTCCTTTTTCTCCCCCAGCATGACATGAGCCATGGTAGCAGTGGTAGAGGAAGAGGAAGGGGACGAGGACGGGGTCGTGGACGACCTGCTCGATCAGTTGAAAAGGACAACTTCCAACCTAACCCCGACGTCGACCCTTGCACATCTATAGAGAACACGAACACGAACACGAACAAGAACCCCAACCAAGATGTGCACATGGAGCCTCACATTGAGCCTAGTGAAACACCAAAAGAAGAAGGTGAAGCCAATCAAACTATCCAAAACATCGATCTTAATGCCGATGTCAATGCTAGCAAAGACTCGAAGACTGTACCAGCAGCTATGTCAGATGTACCTGTAGAACCAGCCGAGCCTACTACTACCGAGTCCGAGGCTAAAGCAGCTGACGAATTCCCTGCCTGGCCTCTCTCTGATGTGGACAAAATGGCAATTGACCCTCTCCAATATGCACATCTCAGCACAAGAGTAGACGAGGAAGAGGAAGATTATGATGAAGAGGAGTAACCTGATCGGCCGTCCGGCCGGCCAGCCTTGAATGTGCTGAGAAAAACCTCTTAGTTGAAGCAAACTACATAGGAAGGGAGGAGGTCAGTTTAAAGTAGGCAAAGAAAATAAGAAGAATCAGAGATTGGAGTTCAATCTGTTACAATGGCCTATGTAGTTCATCATTTTCTGATTTTTTTTCTTCTTCTTAATGTTCTAAGTAAATGATTTATCGATCTAACATTAGGTCTGTAGCTGTTGAAAAGTTATAGCTTGTTCATTATGTAATCCATGTGAAGAGAGTGTTAACCTTGGTGTAAGGGTAGGACTGTACCCTTCTTTTTTTTTTTTTTTTTTTTTTTTTTTTTTTTCTTTTCCCTTGTTGGAAGCTGAAATATGCTAATTTATGCTAATTAATTAACTTAAGATAACCATATTTTAGTTGGTATTCCAACATTGAATTCCATGGGTGTTGTTGCCATTGCTCAAGATTGCATCGAATCAGAAGATGCATTGACCTTAAGACTTTATTATCATTAAATTGTTTTTTTTTTTTTAATTACCGGGGAAATAGCAATTTTTCCTATAAAACGACAAATTCCTATACGAAAATGAAATAAAAAAGATCCACTTTATCAAAAAATTTAACTACCATATTTATAATTGTTTGAATTAATGTGTTCTTTAGGTTGAGGTATCACACAAAGTTGCAATTTAATCACTATGATATAGTATTTAAATTCATCCCCATGGTTTGATAAATATTATAAATATTATATGTAACGACCCAGGTTCACCGCTAGCAGATATTATCTTTTTTGGGCTTTCCCTTTCGGGCTTTCCTTCAAGGCTTTAAAATGCATATGTTAGGGCATCCTCTTTAGGCTTTCCCTTTCGGGCTTCCCCTTAAAGCTTTAAAATGCATCTGCCAGGAAAAAGTTTCCACACCCTGCTGGGTATCCTCTTTGGACTTAAGGGAGATTTGCTAGGAGAAAGTTTCCACACCCGACTAGAATATCCTCTTTGAGCTTTCTCTTTCAGGCTTTCCTCTTAAGGCTTTAAAATACGTCTACTGGTTAAAGTTTCCACACCTTTATAAGGGTGATTTGCTAGGATATCATCTTTGGGCTTTCCCTTTCGAACTTTCCCTTTCAAGCTTCCCCTTAAGGCTTTAAAATATGTCGGCTAGGGGAAGGTTTCCACACCCTTATAAAGAGTGATTTGTTCTCCTCCCCTAGTGGGACATCACAATCCACCCCCTTCGAGGCTGGGGACGGAGCCGGGGCCCAGGCCCAGGCCCAACATCCTCGCTGTCACTCTTTTCTTCCTCCCATGGATGTGGGACCGCCCCTAAATCCACCCCCTCCCCAAGTGGGACATCACAATCCACCTCTCTTCGGGGCTAAGGCCGGGGCCGAGGCCCAACATCCTCACTGTCACTCTTTCCTTCCTCCCATCATGTGGAACAGCCCCTAAATCCATCCCCTTTGGGGCCAGCGTCCTTACTAGCACACCGCCTCGTGTCTACTCTTTTCGAAAAACAACGAGAAAGTTGGTACATCGTCCAGTGTCTAGCTCTGATGTCATTTGTAACGACCCAAATCCACCGCTAGCAGATATTGTCCTTTTTGAGTTTTTTCTTTTGAGCTTTCCTCAAGGCTCTATAAAGCGTATGCTAAGAGAAGGTTTCTAGAATCTATTAGAGGGTGATTTGTTCTCCTCCCCCATTCTCCAGAGGGTGATTTGTTCTCCTCCTCCCCAACTAACCAACCAAGGTGGGACATTCGAAATTATTCATAAATATTTTTTATAAGCACAAATTTTAACTTGGTTCAAATCATTAATTTAGACTGAGTTGGACTTTATAAATTATAAATTCATCGGTTCTCCAATTAGATTATTATTCCACCTAAACAAAAAAATATCTTTAAATCATTAAACCAAGCACAAAATAGCAAAAGCGAAACCAGAAAAGAAAATCAAAGATCCAATACCTAATAAACAGGTGGCTCCATATTTTATCATATAGCATTCTATGCGGAGGAGATACAAGTCACAAAGGTTCAGAAGGAAAGGTTAAAGTTTGCATGGGATACAGCTTTAAAGGAAGCAAATGCAAATATTCTATCATTACATCAACTCACTCGTATTTTATTTTATTTTATTTTATTTTATTGTGTTAGGACTGATCTGGCACCATCTGATTGAGAAGGAAGTTACCTTCATTGTTCTTGTGGACCTCCACCTTGAACTTTTCTTCTTTACTCCCTCTCTTGAGCTTTAGGAGCAAATCAAACTTTGCAGCATCTTCAATCACCTGTTTTTATAGCATAATGAGGCTTCAATGTGTGGAATTTTCCAAAGAATACCTCAAATCTTTATTAACTTTTGAATAGCAGAGTAAACAGCTTTGTATACTAAGCAGCTAACACAATTAAGGGTAACTAATGTAAGCTAAAACGATTACAGAAAAGAATAAAATTAAATAGAATAGATTACCTAGACTGCATCCCTCCATTAGCATTATATATACATATATAATAATAAATTAAATAGAACTCGACCAGATTTGTGTAAGAAAATTTTCATAAACTACACATATGGGGTATTGAATGAACATCTCGGATCTAAATCTGCTGCTATTTTCCAATACTTTGATCAACTTACCTTTCTCTCGGGGGGGGGGAATGTCATTAGTATTTAGTTTGAAATAAGTGGTAGATTAAAAGTTGAGGTAATCAAAATGAACTTATTGTAAAAGCTTTAAAACAAAGGGGTGAAAATGCAGTGAATTGTTAAAAAGTGAATCCTACAAAAATTCAGACTCAGATACCTTCAGGGACAGATAAATCAGGTGAATGTAACTTTATCGTCAATCATAAACGTCTAAAATATAAAATAGAAAATGAAAGCGTTTGGAAGGATGCTTATCTAAGGAAACTAACTTGTGAAATGCTATAAACGGGGTGAACACATTTGGACCAAAAACCGACTTGATTGGCCGAAATTGAATCCAGTTGGTCCGTTTTATGCTATCGTTGGTCAACCTTAGTTTTCTATTTTGGCAAAATTGATGATCGGTCTGTCGATCCACTAAGACTATTGAAAACCAGCCAACTGAAAACTGCCTACCATGTTAGCTCTCTTCGCTCTCCATTTTAACCTTTTCGTCATCGCTACCCTCTCCCCTTCCCATGTGCCCTCTCCAAAAACGTATTTTCCAACTAAAATAAGAAGTATCATAAACCAATTGGTGACTGCTTATCGACAAACCCCCTACAACAAATAGAGTTTTCTTCTGGTCACTTTGGGGCAAGAGGAATGGAAGAATTTGCTCCTTTTATTTCAGTTTATCAATGGAATTTGTTTTTCTTAAAAAATAACAAAAGCTTCAGTTATGCAAGAAGAAAAAACATTCTTGACACAATAGATAAACTCCAGTCGTGAAAACTTCAGAGCATTGAAACAAAATATAATACAAAAGAACCATAATGCACTTACCTCTGCCTTTGCATGTACGATCTCCAGCAGTTCATAGGGGAGTAGAGAATTAGACCTCTGCTGAATGATCCGAAGAGCATGCTGTGCAGCATCCTGAACGTGGGGATCATGTAGTGGCACTTCTCGCCATCCCTGAGGATGATCACCTAATTTCTAACCATGGTCAATAATATAGATAAATAACAATGATTATCTGAAAAAACAGTTACAAGGATTTCCAACAAGTTAAAGCTTTTATGGTCTATAAGAATATAAACATCCATACAAGAATGTTAATAAGCTCATGTGAAAACACTAATCGCAGTGGACGGCTTATGCTCTGTGAGATAGATACTACCATTAGCTAAATAGTGGTTGATGCAAGTAGGTTCACACGAACTACAAGAATATCAATCCTTAATAGATCAGAAAAGATTGAAAACCGTAATTTCAGATGTTATCGGCCTGCAAGTTGAAGTCATGAAGGACAACCAAAAAGAACCTCCTATAGCTTATTGAACCTGGCTGCGACACTGATTTCCTTGGGACTCTTGACACTCCACACGGGAGGCGCAAGAAAAACCACTAGTGAAAAAGATCCAGAAGATGCTGATCCAATAGGCACCTACTAAAATCAAGGGAATAGCAGAACTCGTGCTCATGGAAGGTAAGATGCCGGAATGGCGAGAACGAGGAGGATAAAAAAAATCGAAAGCCTTTCTGAGCCCAGGCATACAAGGACAATATTGAGTCCACAAATTCCGCACAATGCATTTGACAGTGGTTGTATATTCAAAGCTATAATTTAAATTGTAAATGAAACGACACTGCATAAGTTAAAGAATGTCAGCCACCTTTCTTTGCACCAAGATCAGAAGGAGAAAACGAGGGGGCATCGCCTGCATGCTTGAACTCCTGCAATTCTTTAAAATTCATCCATGACTTCACCCAGATCTTAGCTTCATACAGCTTCTTTTTACCAGCATCAGCAACCTCAACAGTAAGATGGTGCAGTGTACCAGCTACTACCTGCTCTTTCGCCTTCACCACTCTCACAAACTCAAGAAGCGCATTCTGCAAAGGAATGGGAAGATAAATACATCGTAGACATGTATAACACAAGTTCCAAGTATGTGTGTGTTAGTACAGTTGAATGAAAAGAAATAGAAACAAGATGAACTTTTAATTACAAACAACTACAATACTATGCTTGTGGGTATCAAATTTAGAAATTTCAAACGCCTTAGAATTTATTATAGATATATGTCAAAGGAAAGTTTCCTCCTTAGTCATCGGGAAGACGATGAGAATCATACAGTTTTAGTTCCACACATTTGGATACTAATCATCGACTCCGACAGAAACCGATCGCACCAAAAAGTAGAACCAGTGAATACAAAATCCACAATCGCGAACTAATCTGATACACATAAATCCATAGAAAAACACAAGTAGAACAAGATCGGGAACTAACAGCACACCCGCCATCAACAAGATTCAACGAAACGCGACAAGATAAAAAAAAACATCCGAGTACAAAACAAACTCATTTAAACAGAGAGAACGAGAGAAGCGGTTTACCTCTTTCTTGTTATGTTCATCAACGGCAAAACGAGCGAGTTCATCGACATCGGCTGAGTTGGAAGCTCCCTGAGAATCGTGCACGCCTCCAAGTGTGGACGCCATCAGCAGTGGATCGTCTTGTTGGGCGCAAAAGTGAGCTGATGCGTTTCCTGCAAGAACGATCCAAGAGAGCAACAACAACAGCAAAAACGTCGATGAAGAAAACCAAATCGAAGAATCGTTTTTCATCACAGAGGAGTGGTTCAACTATTCCTCATTTATCGGTCGATTTTGTGAAATTCCTTCGCTGTAAGATATTGAACGGGACTCTCTTTTGGCGCCACGAGGGTGAGAACGTGAATTCGTGCCAATCGAGAAACTGCTCCACGAAGCGCTTAAGCGTTTACTTGTTGGGAAACGAATCAATTTCTTTTAGCTGCTTTATTACAGTATTAATTGTTTTTTTAAATAAAAAAAAAAAAAGAATAATTCCATGTGGTACAAATCTTATAATAATGAAAAAAAGAATTAGGACTTAATTTTATTTATTTAACCTACAAATAAATGATTTAAGCAAAGTATTTCATATTTTGAATATTTTCCACCAAAATTTGGTAAATAATCCAAACATTTTATATCCTTTGAACACTAACACTTCTAAATAATAGAATTGTTGAATACAACTTGCACAATACAACATAAATTCAATTTAAAATGATAGCTACTCAAATTAAACAATAAAAACTACTTTTGGCATTTAATTTTACTTAAATCTTTCCACTGTTTATTTGAGATATCTAGAACCCTCTAAATAGAGATATTTATTTAATTCACAAGATTAAAGTCTGGTACGTTATATCCCAAATGAGGTAAGAAACGAAGGAAATAATTAGTTAAACAAGGCCGAGAACGGGAGTTAAATTTCCTACCTCATTCCTGACTCAAATCTTACTCTAATCCTCACTCGATAGATATATATATATATATATCAAAACTAAGTACAAAATTAATTTATTATATATACCGTGAAAAAATTTGAAAAATTATATAAATATGGAGAATGAAATAAGTGAGAATGAGGCAGAAATGGAAAAGGCTTCCACGTTCCCCAGGGTCAAAAGGATAACACAATCCAATTGCAAGTCAAAATAATAACATAATAAAATGCAACACCTAAAGAGACTCCATCTTCAATCATGCAATCAAAGAGAACCAGAGGGAAAAGAAAATGCTATGCAGTCATTGGAGATCATATATGCAACAAGCATGGTACATTGAGTCCAGCATTGTTCAGTACACATTGTAATACACAAGAAACCCTTTTCCTTTATGGAGACAGAGAAAAACAGAAGAAGAAGAAACTTGAACTATCCTAGACACTTGAGACAATTCAGAATCTAAAGATGGGGAAGTATAAGGCCCCCCAGAACAATAGAACTCAGAGCGCTTAAAAAACACGTGATAAAACAGCGAAAAGGCAGTGCTCGAGCTCCTATAAGCATAGGGAGGGAAAAAGCATGTGTCTCAGCCTCCCATTACGAGTCGGGGGAAAAAGATACAAAACTTCCCCATAAGAACTGTTCAGATAAAATGTTAGTAAATTGACCTGAAATACATATATTACATCCTACGTGGGTGTGAGCTTTTAGCTACTTGTTCTTTAGCTGTTCCTCCTTGCGAAGACTATCTTAGAATTCGGGAGCATTTGCGATGCAGAGGTATTTGATGACAGCTTCGAGTCATTCTTGGATTCTGACTGAAGTTTTATCTACAATTTGTGATGAAAAGGGCAATAATCAATGAAACCATTCAATGACTCCTAAAAATGGCTCAAGATTCAGGGCGTCACCAACTACTTCGAAAGCCACAGTTCCAAAAACACAGCTTAAGTTTTTAGACTAAAGTGAATCCAAACGTTTAATATATTCTAAAATGTACTGGAAGAGAGCACAACTTGGTGAATTTCCCAAACAAAAGATGAGGACAAGGAGAATGACATGAAAGTAGAACTCAATCAATTTACTCTATCTTCATTGTTAACAATAACATGTTAGTTTTTTTTTTTTTTTTTTTTTTTTTTTTTTTTTTTTTTTTTTTTTTTTTTTTTT